CCAGGCGACATTTGTCGTCCGCAAAGTCTGCAACATGTTAATTCGATGTAGACCAGACAGAAAAGGCGCCAACGTACTGGTGGTTCAAGTTTAAAAAACAGGTAACCAATCACCACCGAGGGGCCGGACCGGGGGTGCGGTATGCAAATGTCGGGGGCAGTGTTTTCCTTGTATGTTACAATAAAAGTCGGAATTGGCGGGAAGGGAGGGAGAGACTGTGATCATCGGAGCAACTACCGTCGTTCGCTCTCAGAGATCCCCCTCCCGCCGATATTGAAGACAATTTTCCTGTGTGCCGAGTCATTTCTTTAACTTTGTCCGAGAAAATCTCTGACAGTCATATATCCAGTAAATTTTAAGTCGGGGAGGAAAAAAAAAACCAGTCACCTAAATGCTAAACGTCTGTATTCCAGGGTCTCTGGGGGTGAGCTGTTTGACTTCTTGGCCCAGAAAGAGTCTCTAAGCGAGGACGAAGCAACCCAGTTCATCAAGCAAATCCTTGAGGGGGTGAACTACCTCCACTCCAGAAAAATAGCCCACTTTGACCTCAAGGTATGTCCTGACAAGATTACACAGTTTAAAAAAACAAAAACAAAAAAAAAAACAGCATAGACCAGCGTTTATTGTATTTTCATGCTGTTCTTGCTTTTTTTTCCCCAGCATGTCGGTCTTGCTTGGTGGCTTTGACTCAGTTGCTAGAACGGTTTATCCAGTGAGTGGTTTGGGAGAATAGTTGTGTGCTGCTTTTGCTGCTGTTCTTGCTCATGACACCAGCAAAGCCAGCATGAAAACACTACAAAACCATGCTGCTCTATGCTTTTTTTTTTTTCTTTTAACAGAGTATAATGTACTAAATTTGATGTAATTTCATTATAATAATGTAATAATTTAATTGAATTTCATAGAGTATACATTTACTCTAAAAAGAATGCATTTGGTCCCAGTCTCAACGGAGTAAAATATGCAATTACAAGAGAGTGAAATATTCATAGTACATTTTACCCAAAATATTTTTCCTGTATACCACAGGATTGGCCTATCCCATCTATTCGGGGGCTCTCTGGAGCTTATAGTCGCTGTGCAAAGAAAATAAATGTTCATCCGGCCGTTATCTGAACCGGTTATCTTACGATGGTCAAGGGCGGGTTGGAGCCTATCCCAGCTGTCTTTGGGTAGTAGGCGGGCTTCACCCTGAACTGGTTTCCAGCCAATTGCAGGGCACACATAGACAAACAAGCATTCACATTAACAATCACACTCAGGTACAACTGAGTGTTCCATCAACCTACCATGCATGTTTTTGGAATGTGGAAGGAAACAGAAGTACCTGGAGAAAATCCACGCATACGAATGATTCTTGTACTTGAGGGTGGGTGTGGAAGTTTTAGAGTCAATGCAGTCTGTAGGGCGGACATTGGTAGTTCAGTGGTTTACACTGATGCCTTTGTCGTTGCTGATCGATGACCATCACTCATCTCTGTGATTGGCCATCAGTCCAGGGCCTTTAGTTAAAATATGCATGTACTTTACTCGCCCCACATAATTGAGTAGAGTTATTTCTGACTGCTCTCCTGTTTAGTTTTGTTTTTTAACTTACCAAGAGGTTTTGAATAATCAGTTGTGAGCACTTCAAAACACTTTAGCAGTTTATCTTGATTAATTTGTCATTTGTTTTTCTACAGCCTGAAAACATAATGCTGCTAGATAAGAATGTACCATTGCCAAGGATTAAACTCATTGATTTTGGTCTTGCCCACAAAATTGAAACTGGAGTGGAGTTCAAAAACATCTTTGGAACACCTGAGTTTGTTGGTAAGACTGATTATATCCTCATCAGTCAGAGTGCTGTGTTCCGATCCTTTAACTGCAACTGTTTATAACATTTTCTTTTTCAAAAGCACCTGAGATTGTCAACTATGAGCCATTGGGTTTAGAAGCAGACATGTGGAGCATTGGAGTCATAACCTACATCCTGTAAGTGAACAGTGACAAACAGTCAACCCATGCACACTTGTGGTTTGGCACCCGTGGATTTGCATATTCACGGATGTTTTTTTTTTTTTTTTTTTGTTAATTAAACCTTTTTGTTGATGTTTTTTGTTTTGTTTGTTTTTCCCTGATTTTTTTTTGGTTACATATTTTCCCCCCGGTTGTCGTGGAAAATGCATAATAAATATTTATCAGGTTTTTTTTTTCTTAAGATTTGTTTGGGGGTGGCCAAATTAATTTTAATTGGCATCACTCATACATGGATTTTCACTCGTCATGGGCCTGCCCAGTTCCTTTCACTCGCAATTAGTGGGAGGTTGACTGTACAGTAATTCACTTTGGCTTCTTTTGCTTCAAACAGACAAACCAACTGAATGTGTCTTTATATTATATTCCAGATTAAGTGGTGCTTCTCCTTTCCTCGGGGAGACTAAACAGGACACACTGAAGAACATTTCAGCCATAAACTATGAGTTTGATGAGGAGTTCTTCTACAACACCAGTGAACTTGCCAAAAATTTTATCAGTCACCTGCTGGAGAGGGACAAAAAGTAAGAGTTGGGTTCATGATGCCCGAGGCAAACTGTTCAAAATAAAAATCCAATGATTTTAGAAAGACATCTTTTTTCATTACAGGAAAAGACTGACAATTCAAGACGCTCTTAATCACCCATGGATCAAGGTAATGTGAAATGGTCAACTTAGATGTGACTGTAAACTCCAGGCACACTTTTGGACTCATAGGATATTGCTTGAAATTGACATAATTTTGGACCAATTTTTTTAATGTCCTAATTAAATATGTACTATTTGTTCTTTGAACCCGCAAGTCTAATGAGCGCAAGGAGGAAAATAAAGGCCAAGAGCTGCAGAAACGAGAAAGGCGCCAGCTCAAGACCAAGCGTCTGAGGGAGTACACCATTAAGTGCCACTCAAGCATGCCACCTAACAACACCTACGTAAACTTTGAGCGGTTTGCCCAGGTGGTGGAGGACATTGATCAAATGGAACGCTCGTTCCTGACCTTGACCGCATCCCATGATTCTCTGCAAGAAGATATTGATGCCATGGTCTCAATATACAATGAGAAAGAGGCCTGGTACAAGGAACAGAGTGAAGGAGTGCGCCATGAGCTCTCGCAAATCCGCTACGAGTTCCGTAAGGTGGAGTCCTTGAAGAAAAATCTCAAAGATGAAATGCAATCTTTTAGCTCCAGCCTCAGTGGCATCAGCAGCCGCTACCAGGAACGACAGAACCACTTTGATGCACTCAAACAAGAACTCAGTAATGAGCTGACGTGGTTGCAGGAGGTGATGGGTTCATCCCCCAACGATGCGGGTGGCGATTACCACATCGGAAACCTTACCACTGTCTTCAATAACGAGGTGAATGAAGCCCTGAAAGAATTGCTGAACCGCTCATGTGGAGGGGAGTTGCTGTCTGGGATCAATCTGGACTTAACTGAAACTGGACAACAAAGATAGATGAGCATTATTTTGAGTTTCTGTATGAATGTTCAACAAATGTATGGTGGTATGCTGTAATTGCTGCATTTACAAACTGGATACACTAGAACTCTTCCAAATACTGTAAGAAAATGAATGTCTCTGTACTTAATCACCATTACATTTTGGTTTCTGTAGTTGAAACTTGCTTTTCTCCACTTATTTTTGGCAGCCCCTCAACCTGGCATGACAAGAATATTTCACTATGAAAAACATTCCAAGTGAGAGTTGCGATACTGTATGTCTTAAAGGGCAAACTGTATAAAGCTATCCAACAATATCCAATCCAAGGGAGATACCAAATATCCTGCCAAAATTGTGAGTTTTGATTAACACTATAAAAAGAGTTATTCATTCAACGTTTTGTCTTTGTAGCTTGCGGTGATGTACTACTGTAAGGCAAGGCAGTTTATTTATTTATATAGCAATTTCATACACAAGGCAACTCAATGTGCTTCACACAAAGACACACCACCTCCAAACATTAAAAAACATAACAGTTGACGACATTCAAAAGGAAAGCATAGAAAACAAAAGTTACTTAACAAAAATGACCAGGACATACATTGACACCATTCAAACACATTAATAGAAAACTTTAAAAGCATTTAAAGTGAAGAAATAAAAGTAGATTTCTAACTAAAAGAAAAAATGGATTTAAAATCATTTACACTCTGACTTCACTCCTGTGGCAGTTTATTCCATTTGTGTGCAGCATAACAGCCAAATGCAGTTTCTGTAGTTCACTTTGAACTCTGTGTTCCACGAATTGACCCAGGTCTGCAGATCTCAGAGCCTTGCTGGGTTTATAATCAATGAGCACTTCTTTTAGGTATTCAGGACACAAACAATCCAGTAATTCAAAGGCCAGTGACTTTCATCCATCCATTATCTGAACCTCTTATCCCCACGAAGGTCGTAGGTGTGCTAGAGCATATCCCAGCTGTCTTCGAGTAATACTCGGGGCACACCCTAAACTGGTTTCCAGTCTATCGGAGGGCACACATAGGTGAACAACAACCATTCATATTCACAATCACACCTTGGGACATTAGAGTGTCCAATTAACCTATCAGGCTTGCTTTTGGAATGTGGGAGGAAACCGGAATACCCGGAGAAAATCCAAAAACATGCAAACTCGACACAGGAAAGCCGGGGCTGGAATTGAACCCTGGATCTCTGCACTGTAAGGGAGATGTGCTGACCAGTCGACCAACGTGCCGCTGAATTTGAAATGCTCAATGAATATTAAATTCTGTATACTGTATTTAAATTAATAGGCGCTGAACTCCAGGTGAATACACTCCGAGTTGATTAAATTGATTCTGGATCCGGAAATTCAGAATTTCCTATATCAGAGCAGATCAACTGTGCAACCCTGATACGGACCGCTGGTCTCATTAAACTCCATGCCTTAGGCATGACTGACATCTTGGGGTAGAAACAGTGCACAGCACGTATCGACAGAGTGGGTGCTCATCCTAGTCTCATTTTGCTTCGTGCCTGTTCTAATTTGGGCCAGTACTGTATTTGAAACCAGAATGACCTGATTACAAGACCTCATAGATCCTACGTCTCGTCATTCACAATTTAAAATTATTTCAGCGCTAGATTTCTGAGATGGACCATAATCCACCTACACTGGAATTTAAGGATTTAAATGAAATATTAGACGGTACAGCAAAACAAGAAACAGACAAGTTAGTCATGCTTTGAAAAGTTGTCATCGACCGGCCGTCATGCGCCATGGCCGTGATGTCATAGACATGTGATGTGATGACATTGGCTGTTTTCTGAAAATTAACACGTTCCTGAAATTCCTGATGGCTATCTCGTTCCTGGTCACCACGCACACAGCTCTCCCTGAAGTGCGGAACGCACAATGCAGTTTGATGTGTGGTAGCGTGACACAAAAAGTGATTTGTTATGTTTTTGTTGTAGTGTTCAAAGTGTTCGTATTTGTTGAAATATCCATCCATCCATCCATCCATCCATCCATCTGCTTATCCTCATTAGGGGACAATTTAACGTCCCTTGATGAAATATATAATACTAAATATCTATTCGTACATCCATTAAATATATCAAGTAGTAGTTTTAGTAAGAGTTTAGCAGTGGTGTTTTGTGTGTGTGCGTGTGTGCGTGTGTGTGCGTGCGTGCGTGCGTGCGTGCGTGCGTGCGTGCGTGTGTGTGTGTGTGTAAGGGGATATAGTAGGGCAGTGGTCCTCAACCTTTTTTCTGCCACAGACCGGTACATGATCCGACTGCTGTTACATTACCGCAGTGGTGATATATTACAATTGGGGGACATATGCTCTGGTACAGAACATTTTTTTAACATATCTGCAACCTGGTACCGAGTGGTCCGTAGACCCATACCGGTCCGCGGACCAGTTGCAGCCAATGTACTAGGACGGTACTATAGGACCTGCAGCCCCTGTGCCCCAGTGGTTTTATGTCTAGTAACGCCCCTGCTATATTACAAGTTGTGGTATATCTAGTGTTGTGATATGCAATCTGTATATTTTTATGATGATACAGAGGCAGTCTATTTTTAAAGAAACATTGGTCTTAAAATCATCTTTGCTGAATGAGGGAATCCACAGCACACAGGCGGTATGTTGGAGCGCTATCAGTCACCCCGCCCTAGGCCAAATTGATCGATCGAAGCAAGGCGTCGAGGAGAGTCGGGTTCGCACGCGTCTACGTCACAGTCCGAGGTTGGGGCTCGCTGAGGGGCTGAACGGTCGACTGCTCCACGCACCCACTGCAGTGGAAGGGACGGAAGAGGTGCTCAGAAGGCATGGACGTCCATGCACGGCCCTGTCTCTGTGCTGAGAAGGTTTTTAAATCCTGCGGAGATTGCCAGAACTCTTCATATTGACACGATGAAGCCGTGTCACATTCTCCTGTAAACACAACAATAGAGGAGGCCTTTGACAGTTGTTGGCGGTAAGCGAGCATTTATTCCTGCTAACTATAAAGCGTTGCCAGGAAGCTAACCTGCTATGAGACAGCAGAAAGCACAATTAATATGACTGTTGGCTTTATCAGTTATTACTAACATGGGCTTTTGCTTGTTTGTATATCGTAACTCAATGCACAACTTGTAATTTACGAGCCCCTCGTCATACCTGCACATAAGGGTGGTGGCTACCTTTCTGATCGCTGGGACGCTTTTGCCCTGCTAGCTGAGTGACGTAAGGAAATTTAGCATGTGTTAGCTTACGTAAACATTGACATTTCGTTGACAGTCGTCTTCCTCGGCCACTTTTGTCGTAATAAGTAGCGAATTGACATTCCTCACGGAATGACATCCATGTGTTGGTAGTACCTACGTGTCCTGTGTTTATGCTGTCCGAGGTTTATGAAGCGGTTTGTCATAAACAATACCCTTGCCGAGGATAATACAACATGGAAGTCAACAAGCCACCCTTTCTGAAAAACTCCTTTTTTTATTAGCACTACCTGACGCGTGGCGTCTTTAAATAACGTTGGACAAGAGTTTACAACATTGGAATCACATTCAGTACTAGCAGTATCATGGACCGCTGCCACTGTTAAGTTGACCCATTGGCTTTCTGGGGGCTAATCGCTTATATAAATAGTGGCATACTCTCACTGTCATATCACCCAAAACGCCTAAACTGCTGTAAAGCAGCAGCAATTTTTGGAACCTTATCAGTGTGTCATCACAAGGAGTCTCTCAAAGCCACTCATTTCCCTTCCCAATTTTCTGAGTAGAGCATATTCCCTAAAGGTAAATATTGTCTTATATATCTTATAATAATATATTTTCTGCACTGTTTTTCTTTATCACCTGTATGTCCAGGCTTTTACTGAGCCAAAAATAATACCAAAAGAAGTAAACTGTAAAGAATGCAAGGCGAATGATATTTACAGTTGTTGACTGTGGATTGAGGTGTGAATAGTTTTCTTTTTAAGAGCATTTCTCAAAGTTTGCGCTGTTGTGAATTGTACTTGTCTTTGCTGCACTAAGAGACCCTTTGTCTGCAAAACTACTGTCCATGAAGATACTGTATGCCGTCAATGTACAGACTGATTGCTTGGGAATGCTTTTTAATTTGATTCACCATTTCACAAAATCAAATGGGTTTAATGTGCATGAAATTACAAAATGACTGAGTTTATTTACAAACCTGATCTCTGAGCAACTGTGATCTCATATTTAGTAGTCAAGAAGTGGCAAAATGGCCACCCCATGAGATGGATAAAACGGGGTGAGTTTTGTTGCTTAAGTCGTATTTCACAAACATGAATCAGAATGCTGTGATTGGACTAATGGGGGCGCATACTGTGCAGCGTATTATTTCAAAGAACATTTTTGGGTTGATTTCCCTCTTAAGCCATGGTTACCAACCTTTTTTTGGCTTGTGTACCCCCAAATGTTTTTGTCATACCATGAGTAAGTATCCCTTCGCTCCTACGTGTTGATGATTCACCAAAATGTAACACAACTGATTATTAAATAAACATTTTATTTCATTGTCTTAATTTGAAATATTTAAATCTTTGACATGGCTTCATTTTTAACTTCAATTTATAAACATATAAAGAATAAGTTGCCTTGAAAATAAGTAATATAAACACAACAATAATAATCAAAACAAAGAATAGACCCACATTTGTTTTATATAACTTTTACAGAGTATAACATTTATAACACCCAAAAAACTGGAGCTGATTTGAATAGGTTTCCAGGAAACAGGCATTTAAACTTCAAACATTAGGAGGGAAAAAAACCCACTGAAAAAGACTAACATTCAGTCATCTGAGCTTTAATGAAGCTCACTTGAGTTGATATGCGGCTGTTCTGATTTTGGTAAATCTGTGGCAGAGCTTAATGATCTGGCTAATAGCATCGGTTTCCACGTACTTCCAACAATTACTTTTTGGTGCATTCAATGAGTTTTTCTTTGTATGTTTGAGATTTCCTAAACGAACCTCAAGGCTACTGCAGAACGCGAGTGAGTACTTGCTTTTCTTTAGCTTCTCCGCGATAAGCACTTTTTTAATTTGCAAAACCTTGTTTCTAAAACTAAAACTCAAAAAACACAAGTTTGTTTTTCATGTCTTTATTCAAAACAAGCGTAGTGCAGTCGAACAGCTTCCACTCGATGCGTGCATATTTTTACGGGGGTGAGTGCTTTTGCACAACACCGGTATTGGCTGAATGAGTGTGGCCGGAAGTCACATAAGTTACGCACGCTTAGTGATGAAAACTATTTTAAATTCAAGAGATGTTAACATTTAATATATAACACACAAACTATAACTAGTTTTTTAAAAATGTAAATAGATGTTTTCCAACTTTTTACCAGTCAAAAAAAAAACAAAAAACAAAAAACAAAAAACAACATGAACGCTGTGACTTTGTAATTGCATGGTTGAGGGCGTGGACGCAGAACTTCCGCCTCTCGGCGAAAGTCTTTTTGCTCACAAGACGTGTGACAAGGCGAGAAATAGATAAAAAAATTGTCTGTCTGTCTGTCTGTCTGTCTGTCTGTCTGTCCGTCCGTCCGTCCGTCCGTCCGTCCGTCGCTCTCTCTCTCTCTCTCTCTCTATAAGTAGTGTATAACAAATTTTTTTGTAAATGTAAGTTTTAATGTTATCAGAAACTTTGCCATTAGTATCCTTGTAGTATTTTGTTGAACTCATATAAATAAATGTAATTTGACATCGTTTAGCTGTCAGCTACCACTGCTGCTTATGTTTCAAGTTTTTGCCGTGGTGTTGTTTCCTTTTATTTTATTTTATTTATTTTTTTTTGAAGGGATATAAAATAACAAGCGTTTTGTCTGCCACTGCTTGTTGCAAACCAAGTTCTTGTTTCAGCTAAACATTTTGCAAATATCTCTTGAGTCACTGTCAATCTTTAGATCATACAAAACGTTGGTATACCAATTGAGATGATTCTACATCAGCAAATGTGGTCATGCTCGTACTGCACCAAAAAAGGGTGCGACCAAATCCTGTGCCAGTGCGATCAACTGAAAAAGTCAGAGCACCACTGCTATCATTGCAAAAGTTTGTGTTTTTTGTTTGTGGCCCAAATAAACCTATTCACAATAAATGCACATTGCACAAAACCAAATAAACTACATACAAGATGTGCCACACTGATTGGCTCCAACTTAAAAAGACTGCTTGCCGTAATAAGGGCCAAAGTCGCATATTGTGTGCAGATTGTTAGAAAGTCTTTCTTTTTACCCTTAAAAGATTTCATTTTGTATTCTTTTTCTGAATTGTACAGATTAGATGTCACATGAAGGGTTTTGACATAATTTGTCTTGGTCTATTTTATTTTTTTAACAAGGAAGGTTGCGTAGACTTTATATCCAGTGTCACCACTCCTACTTGCATTCCCTCTGTCAAAGCTAAACCTGCGCTGACTGCGCAAAAGTCTGGTGAATGAAGAACTACACAGTTCCAAAAACTACAATGCATTATAAATACTATCATAAACTACAATATATGAAATAAATATACTGCACAATATTGGAAAAAACGTGTGTGTGTGTGTGTGTGTGTGTGTGTGTGTGTGTGTGTGTGTGTGTGTATATGTATATATAAAATATAATATATGTGTGTGTGTATATAAAGGCAAAATAAGCAAGCTCAATGTATTCTTAACTAATTAATTATAATGCCGCTCGATACCGCTCACCTTTTGGATGCATTGGACTGGTGAAATTGTGATAACAGCATACAATTCCATATGAAACTTATTGCATGTCTTTGCAATATGCATATTGCTCGGGCCATTATTATGATAACAATATTTTTTCAATATAATGTGGAGCCCTATATCAATTGGCCAGTGACGATTGGATTACAAGCAATTGAATATCTAAAGGCAGTCATCTTTTGCAAATTCTGTGTCTTTACACCCCCCCCCCCCAAAAAAAACAAAACAAAAAAACGATTGAGTGCCTGCCCTTTTGAAAAACAATATTCAATATGCTCCAGCATTAGTAGTATAGTGTACATACGCTCTCCTTTAGAAGTATTAGAACAGTGAAGCAAATGTCTTTATTTTTGCTATTTTAGCACTGTGTTATGAACCAAAAGCATTTTAAGTGAGAAAATGTCTTGAAAGAGATTAAAATAGTGAGAACTTAATATTTAGTTGCATAGCCACCGCTTGAAATAAATGCAACAAGCTGGTAACCGATTTTTGAGCTTTGGCATTATTGTTTTGTGATGTTTTTCTTTCTTTTTTTGTAATTTTAAACAGTAGCCTCCTTTAATTCTCATGAATTTCTGGTCTTACTTTCCTGAGTCTCTTCTTAAAAAATCAAAATGCATGCACTGTCTGTAGGGTCTCAGGCAGGAGATTTACGTCGCTTCTGTTACTTGTCACTGATTAACCCCTTTATTGTTTTGACATTGTGTCTTACATAATTGTCTTTCTGCATGATTACGGCTCTCCAAAGCAGTTTGGATGTGCCTTTCTGCCGTCTAAGTCAGTGATTCTCAACCAGTGTGCTGGGGCACACTAGTGTGCCTCGAAAGATCATCAGCTGTGCCGCGGTAAATTATCCAATCTCAGTTATTTGGACCAAAAATGGTTTCCTTTCTCTTAAAAACAATGTTGCGTTTATTGATCGATGCCACCCACGCATAGTGCCTAATGAATGTATTTATCCAATTTTTTTGTCAATCGTTTTGCTAAGTGGTGTGCCGTGAATTTTTTTCCAATACAGTATGAAATGTAAATCTTGACTCAAAAAGGGTCGGGAAACACTGGTCTAAGTGACCTACTGTAAGAGCTTCAGGTTGACTTCTGAGATAATTTTGCTGTTGCCGTCATGTTATTAATTAGTGAAGATCAGTGAGCCCTTCCCAGAAGAAGCCATGCCAGCCCAACACGTGACATTAAATCCACAGATGAGCTATGAGTTTGTATGTTTGGAGTGGTGAATGGTTATTATCTTCTACAAACAGAAGAGTGTGGCCCCTTCGTTCCTACCCTGTGGAATTCTTGCTGATGTTACTAACTGCTGTTTTAGGGTGTTGTGGTAGGGTCTTTTACAAACAGCAAAATTTTAAGAGCTTCATCTAATCCTAAATGTTTTGTCGTCATCAGCTATTTTTTCCCCCTTGGTCTACTCATTTCACACTTGTTATGTAGCAATCCTGTTTTTTTTTTCTTCAGGGCATTGAAAATGGTTGTATTGGCTACTCAGTCAATTTGTAGTA